TTCCTACAATTAATATTTTTCTTAACATCAATATATATTATCTTTGTAAAAAGGAATTAAAAATTCTAAGAAAGCCAATTTAGTGTATGAAGAGATGATGCACATAAAAAGGGGATACAAAAAGCAAATGTTTGGAGAAATTTTGGCCTCATTAATAAAAGAATGCAAATTAAAATAAATATAAGATATCATTTCAGATATAAGAACATTTTTACTGTCTATGAGGAGTGGAAAATGTTTTTTAAGATTTGTATTCCTTGGTCTGTATGATCAAAAAGTATGTTACTGGTGAGAGCTGTTCTGTCTGGTAGAGTAGCAACTTGCCACATTTTAATTTTAATTAGAGAAAATAAAATTTTAGTTTTAATTAGATGAAATAAAATAAAAAATCCATTTCAAGTGCTCAATAGTCACATGTCTAGTGCTTACTTTCTCGGGCATGACAGATATAGAAGATTTCCTTCACTGCAGAAAGTCCTGCAGGACAGTGATGCTCCAACATATGGTAATTTATTTACCCCAATCTGTCATCTTTGGAAGAGTAACAGTCACTTTTAGAGATGAAGAGAGAAGGGACAGCATATACAAGGGGAGGAATGTCAGACATAATTATATCCAGGAACTATACTTAGTATTTATTGGTCCATCCAACAATTTAAAATACCTACTAGGTGCTGAGATCTTCATGTGCAGTGAGTAGCAAGATGGACTCGCTCCTGGTGTCTGGGGACTTACATTCTAACAGTGGAGAAAGAGTTTTACTTGCTCTTCTCCCAGAAACCTTCATGGCTGTTTCCCCACTTCCTTCAATTCTTGGTTAACACGTTGCCGTATACAGAGGAGTTCTCCAAGCAGTTTAAATAAAAGTCATCCTTGCTCATAGGTGTGGGTCCTCCTGCACCGTTGCATCTCCAGCATCTATTATGTGCTCTATTTTTTGCCACTTGTATTATGTGTTTGATAGTCTATTGCATGTCTGTCTAATTCTAATCAGAATGAGGGCTTTAATAGAGTAAGGACTTTGCGTGGTTCACTGTTCTAACTAATAGTGTCTAACAGTTCGTTTTAATTTGTTCATGTCCCTGAGTGGTAGTCTGTGAAATCTGACGAATAAACATAGTAAAATTCATCTGGAAGTAGAAGAGGACAGCTATTTCAAAAGGTGAATTTTTTTTTCTTGGATAGAACAATGAAGGTAGACTTGTTTTTCCAGTTGTAAAACACATGACAAGTTGAGAATCATTTCATTATTATAGGATTGAGTGAAGATATTTTAAAAAATGATACATGGAGTATACCAGAGATTTGGAGAGAGATTTAAACAGTGATCAGTGACACACTGTAAGATATATCTCAAGTAACCTGAGAGTGAGGCAAGAAATTACTATTCAGTAAATGGAGGACAGTTGGACATCAGTATGGGAAAAAATTAATCAGAATGCATACATCAGGTCATCTATAGCAGAAAACTCAGATTGCTTAAACTGTGAAATAGGAGTCAAGGTGTGTATAGAGATGTGAAAGCTTGAATAAAAACCTATAACAGAAATACACAGAACATCCTTTTCTTTTGTGAAAAGGATGCTTTTTTCTTCTTTTTATTAAATAAAGGGAAATGATTTAAATACAAGATAGTGCCTGAACGCTAAAATTATTTTATACGATGAAATGTAATGAAATGAATGTTCTAAATAGAGTGAGACTGTGAAAACACACATGAAATGACAGCTGAAAAGTTTATTATGTAAGATATGTTAAACTGACATGTAATAGGCAGTCACTATCCAGGTTTCATTTGAAAGTGGTTTAAAGGGTTTGAATCATCCCTACATGACAAAATATAGGTGTGAAATGATTATGTGAAAAATGCCCTGCCTTGTTAGCAATGTCAGAAATGCCAAATAAAATAGCTTTTAGGTATCATTAAACTGGCAAAACTAATTATCATTTACAGAGATAACGTGCAATTCCAGCAACAAACAGATGGCACACTCCAAGAGGTGTGAGCAGGGTTAAAGGAACCAGGAGGGACAGGGGAGCATCCAGGAACTGGGAACAGTGCAAAGCTGTTTCCGCCCCAAGCCTGAAGGGGCCAGGGTGGTACCAGTGTTACCGGAGACCAGAGAGCACTTGGAGACATTGCAGAAGGGCTCCAGCAGCAGCTGCTTCCACAGGCATGGATGCTGCTAAAGCCTGAGCGAGGAGATGGAGATGGGGATGGAGGCAGAGGTAGACCTGACTTCTTTCTCTTCCACTCTGGAATCTTCCACCAGTGCCTCGCATCAGCTGAACCCGAGCAGGGCCCAAAAGCAAGAGCAATTGGTGGAAATGAGGGCCCATCCTGTGTATCCGCAGACAGGTTGTTGATAATGTAAATTTATTATTTTAGAGGCTCAGCTCAGCATGTAGTGTAAAGCTGTCTGTGCGCTCTCATCTGATGATTCCTGTTTTGGTGAAATACACCTCCAAAATCTGAAAGTAAAAAGAGTAATTTTGCCCAATTCGGTACAAAAGCAATTAAAAGGGGGACTCATATAAGAGAGTAGCAAGAAGGACACAACTAAGAAAATAAGAAAATGACTTGTATTTTTTGGTTACGTGTACCTCACCTCATTCCAAAAACAGATTAAAGCATGATGGTGCATTAGAGTGAGGGAGTGAATGGAGCCTTTGAAATAAATGTTTAGATAATGATGGTGCATGAGAAAGTTTGATAGGAAATAATGGTACATGAATAGTATCTGTAAACAGATAGAAACTTTAAAAATATATGTATTACATGTAAAAAAGTAACTTAACATGATGTCCTTTTATTTGACCCATTTCTAATCTTTATTGGAAAGAGCCAGTAAAAATAAATAAATAACAGGTTGAAGAAATATTACTATTAATTAGGTTCTTTTTTTCAAAAATTTCTTAAGGGCTTTAATAAGAAAAGTGGTTCCCTACGTCTCTTGCCCATCCTGAAATCACAGTGTAAGATGCAAGGCTCTAGAAGTGAAAAAGTTATCATTCAACTGGGACAGAAAAAATGTCTTGAACAGTTACTTGAATTTATTGTTTAAATGAGTTGGGAAATAGGTTCCACACAGTTCTGTAAATCCAGAATTTCCACTACCAGGATTTTTGGGAAAGTCTCATCTAGAAATATATTACCTTTATTAATCTACTGACTAAAGCAAATCTGTTTTTTTTTTTTTTTAGCAAATATCCAGTTGTAGGTAAGGCAGTGTGATGCTATAATAGCTCCAGAGAGCCCCACCCAACTATGTGATATGTCACTGGATGAAGAAGGTTCTTTGGACTGGTTATGGTGGAATTGGTCAACTACCTACTCAAATTTAATATGATTTTATTGTACATTTCAAAAAAATTCACAAAAGCCAGTGCTGGAAAAATGCTGAATGAAATAATATATCCTACGTAATACCCATCACAGGAAAATTGATTTTAAATTAGTTCTGGGACCACATTAAATTTTAATCCTAGGTTAGAGTTTCCACAAATAGAGCCTAACCCTAAGTTCACCTAAGATAAAATGATATTCTTGCATATTCTCCCATTTAAAAATTAGTTAATTGATTCATTCATTTTACAAACATTTACTGAACATTTAAATTTTCCAGGCAGTATGTTACATGTAGGAGCAATAATTAAAAGATGACATAATTTGACATAATTTATCCTTTAGTTGCACTGCTCCCTACAATATAACTATGAGATTAGACACACTAAAAACCTTTAGTTGTGATAACAACCCTGTAAGGTAGGTGTCATTTAATAGATGGGGAAAAAGTGAGCTGGCCCAATGGGAAGTGACTTAGAAGCAAAACAAAGCCTGTGCTCTTTCTTCTCTTTCCATTTGGCACTCTCAATTTTCCAAATCAAAACATTGGGACACATGGTTGCAGAAGGGAGTTTTTCTCTTTTGTGTGTGTTTTTTTTTTTTTTTTGGTGTGTGTGCACAGGATTTTAAAACAATATCAAATCACATTACCTTTACTTAATCTTTTGATTAATCACCTTATTGAAAAGAATAAAAAACTATGTAAAAACTTGGGATTGTCTAAGAACATCTGGAACATCTGGTCACCACACTTACCCATTGTAATCTTGTGAATATTGAAACATTCTTACTCTGCTCAGTTCTAGAGTGTTTGCTCACACCCTGTGTTCACCCCCAGTCACTTCTTTTTATTTCCGTGTTTCTCCACCCAACTGTTTTTTTTTTTTCCATTTGGTTTCAATTGTGGCTCTTCGCGTTTGCAATTTGTCTACCCTGACATGCTTGGAAATTTATGGTTTGTTTAGCAGAAGGACCAATTTCTGCCTGGTGGAGTAACCTCCCAGAAGGGTCAGAGCCCGTGTTCTTTGCTGACGTGTCCTTTGCTCTAGTGTCCTCTCTTCTTGCTTAGCCGACTCACAGAAGAATGCACAAAACACGCACACCTCCGGGGATCACCTGTGGATGAACAAGTCAGAATTGTTGGCAGGGGTTTGATCTTCTCTTACCTGCTTTCCTTTACAAGTGTTCCCTGTATGTGCATCCTCCAATCTGGGCCAGGTATTATAAGCGAACATGTGTAGAGATAGAGACCACCATTAATCACATTCACTGCTTTCTTATACTTACAATGACAGTTTCCTCTTTAATTTCCTCGCGTTGAGTGGAAAAGTCTTTTCCAGCAAAGCCAGGCTTGGGGACGGAGGGAGAAGGTGTGTACAGAAGTAGGGAGAAGCAGATCAGGAAGAAGGGGCTGGGCTCTGAAAGAATCCTGGCCCGAGGATGGAATGACAACCAATCTTGAAGGAGGAGCTACTACAGAATGCTACACTTTTAATGAATTTTAGGCAGAAATGTTTTTATTCAAAGCAACTTTTAAAAGCAGAAGAAATGTTATAAACAACCATTTCAGCCATTTTTAGAGGTTCCGTCCAGTGCTGAGTTATCATTCAAAGATGTGACAGAACATATTGAGTTGTTTTGTTTTTCTCTCCAGGTTTGCAACACAACCACAGACAGGAAACATGCAGACACGTTCTTGGAGAAGTGTGTCACTGAGTCAATCATGAACATTGTGAGCGGCTTCTTCAATTCTCCCTTTTCAGACAACAGCACCAGCCTCCAGGTAACTTAAACAAGCATATATGAAAACACTGTCACACAGAATTTATTTACCTTATATGAGTGGAAAAAACGTTAATCTGGTCAGGAGTCACGTCCTACACTTCTGAAGATCTCTCTTGTCTCATATTGTTTTCTATTATGCCCTGTTCTGAGTTTCCCAAACTTTATTTTAAATAAAGATGCTCCATCTTCAAGTTGAATTATTCTTGCTCTCCCTCTAAGCATAGAAGGCCCTTTCTTATCTGTCTATTGACTGCCAAGTGGTGAAATAAATGATTCTTTAAATAGCATTTTGACTCAGTAATTCCACATGAGTAAATCTTGAAAGAATTAGCAGGGATTTATATACTAAGATTTCCACTCAAGTATTTATAATGCTTAAAAATTGACATCAACCTTTAATGTCCACAAATGGGGCAATAGCTAAATAAATTATGGTATGTCTGGTGATGGTTTATTATGTAGCGATTAAACATCATGTTTTAGAAGAAAAAATGGATGACAAAGGAGAATGATCATGAAGTATTAGAAAGTGAAGCAGGCCACAGAGTTGCATCATAGTATCATCCAGATTTGTGGGTGTAAAGAATGTATGTACATACATACACAGAAAGACACAAGAAGTCATCATTCTAAAAAGGTTGACACTGATTATCTCCATGTGTTAGGATTATTGGTGATTTTCATTTCTGTGATTGCCAAATATTCTACAGTGACTGTGAACTACTTCAATTACACTTTCTTTAGGAAACACTTTTGAACTATTAGCTAGAACCATGTAAAATTGTTTTTGTAGGTCAAAATCGTTGTCTCCTCTACTTGCCTGTCGTATGAAACCAAAATGTACAATTGATGAAACAAACCCAAAACACCTGGTCTATTTATATACTTGGAAATAAACCAGAGATTATAAAAAATATAGTTAAATTCATGTCATTGGCTTCAAGAAATGCCATATTTTTCTGTTTAAGAATATAGTTAAAATAATGGATTTTCTGTGATGTCTGGCATGGTGCCTGTTATGAGACAGGCACATAATAAATACTGATTGACTGATATGTTCATTAAGTAACATGGAAACTCAAGAAATTCGTATTTTTAAAAAAAATTTTGGGGGGAGATAATTAATTAGATTCATTTTTAGAGGAGGTGCTGAGGATTGAACCCAGGATCTCATGCATGTTAAGCATGCGCTCTGCCGCTTGAGCTATACCCTCCCCATAGTACAGAAACTCAAAAGAGACAAGATTGTGTTATATTTTGATGAGCTTTTTTGATAACGCGTAGATCCTGCATGAACGTTCATGGTTTAGCGACCAGTTTGCCTCCTTTCTTTCTGTTTTCAGACACATCAGCCAGTTTTTATTCAGCTGCTTCAGTCTGCCTTCAGAATTTACAATTGCACCTGGCCAAATCCGTCACAGAAAGCCTCGGTGGAGTCCTGCATCAGAAGTTTGGCTGAAGTGGGTGAGTCAGCGTATCGGGATTTACTTACTTTTGTAAAAGAAACCAGGCTTCTGGTTAATAGGCAATCCAAGAAGCGTTCCAGTTGCCAACTTAAAAACAACGCAGGTTATCTTTTCTATGATGCGCCACCATATGAACAAAAGAAAAAAATTTAGACCCACTGGTCTGGGAAATTTTGATTTAGCTTGAAGAATTAATATAATTCAAGGGAAGGGGATCAAAGAAGTGATATTTATAAAAAATCATGTTTCTGATTTATTTTGGTGGACGGGAAACTTTCCCCAATTTTAATAGTTATCTTTTTGCCTATTGAACTTACACAGTATAGTGAACTTACGTTGCCTTATATAACTCTTGGGTTTCTACCAGGCATATCCCTTTATTATGTCTGTATTTTCCTACACTGTAATATAAAATTTTGTCTCCTGTTTGATCATATGGTTTATATTCTTGCAAGCTACTTTAGAGCCTTTATAATGAGGCACGATGTGTGAGTGTTAGAGTGTAAATGTGAATTCATTTGTTTATTTGTTTATCTTCTTATTAAAATTTCTCACATGCTATTTTGTGCAATCAGCAGCAAAAAAAAAAAGCAAGTGTGGTCTCTATGAAGCTGAAGAGCCATGATCAGCAAATGATTCTGAACATTGCAACCTTTTTGGGACGGGAATATATTTGTTATAGTTCCTCTTTTTAAGGATAATTAAATGTGTTTATTTATTTTTGAATTGTTATATTTCTGAACTTAATGTGGCAGATGGTGCTTTAACATGGCTCAGTAAGATTTTACAGGAATGAGTTTAGTTTAACTGTTACCTCAGATTTCATTATGGAATTGTCTGTTAAGTGGCCTGATTTACTCACCTCTTCATGTGGCAAGGGGACTTTTTGAGGGGTTGTTAGTTTTCTAATTTTGTTTGAACTCCATCAGTGTTTACTGAGGGTCTGTTATGCCCTGAAGGCTTCAGAAATTACCAGTGAAATGGAATGAAAGGGGATGATAGCTAAGGGAAGGTTGGAACATTCCAGAAAGAATTTCTCACTGAGTCCTCCTTTTTAATTTTTTATAAAGTTAAATAGGGCTGTCCTTAGATGGCAGAAAGGAGGAGAAGAGAAATTCAGACTGGACTTCAAAAAACAAACAGAGGGGCAGCTTATAGTGTGTTTCATTGTCATGGTCGTCACTGCTGACTTTTACCAGCAAGTACCATTTGCAATGCTAGCAATTTACATGTGGTTTTCTCATTTAATCCCTAGATAGTTTCTTAAAAAAATTTTTTTTATTTCATTGAAGTGCAGTCAGTTACCTTAGATAGGTTCTTACTTACGTTTTGCCATTGAGGAAACAGAATTATCCAGATTAAGTAACTTGGCCAGGGTTACAGTATATGCGAAGTAAATATTTTGTAAGTGAATAGATGGTTTAACTAATTAATGGCAAATGTAAGACATTTTTAGTGTTTTTTCAACCACCAGTCTGTTCTCTGTATCTATGAGTATCTTTCGTTTTGTTTGTTCATTTATATTGTTTTTTAGCTTCCATGTAAAAGTGAAATCATGCAGGATTTGTCTTACTCCATCTGACTTATTTCACTTAGCATCATAACCTTCAAGGTCCATCCATGCTGTCCCAAATGGCAAGATGTACTTCTTTTTATGGCAGAGTAGTATTCCATTGTGTGTGTGTGTGTGTGCGCGCGCGCGTGTGTGTGTACTATATATATATATATATATCTTCTTTATCCATTCATCCATTGATGGACATTTTCCATCTCTTGGCTATTGTAAATAATGCTGCAGTGAACATAGGGGTGCATATATCTTTTGGGGTTAGTGTTTTTGTTTTCATTGAATAAATACCTAGAAGTGGGGTTGCTGGATCATATGGAAACTGTTTTTCATGTTTTGAAGAACCTCCATACTGTTTTCCATAGTGGCTGCACCAATTTACTTTCCCACCAACAGTGCCCAAGGGTTCCCTTTGCTCCGCATTCTCGCCAACACTTGTTATGAAATTATATTCTTTATTCAGTTTAGGAATTCATTAAATATAGTTTGAGTACCAAACAGGAAAGAAAAGATACATTTTGTGTATTTACTTTTCTTCACATTTAAGAACACCAGTGTTTCTGTACAGATTTATCCTGGATGTTTGGACATGATACGGAAAAGGTACCACTCTCCACCCACTCCATCATACCTGGCTTGTACACCGACTGTTCTTGTTCTCGGGGGCCTGTACAGCAGGGCTTGACAGTAAACCAAGTGTTACAATTAATGCTAACACTTGCGGTTGCCTTTTCCCCCTACCTGTCAGTTTATGTATCTAAGCATTCTTTTCCACGGCACTTATCACTGCGGTACGTGTGTTCTCAGAGATCTGGTCTGGCAGATCCCACCAGCATTTCTGTCTAATTAAGAAATTTCACATAATCTGCAATATTTAATGAATAATAATTAGAAATAGATTTTGATTACCTGTTCAAATCACTGCAAAGACTTGTCATATCTAGAGCGTTTTCAGGATTTGTGAGCCTAATTAGTAGGTCAGCCTAGGAATTGCAATACCTGTGAATAAAAAATAGCTCGTTTTACAGAACTGGCTGTCTCTGGGCAGAGCCTTAGACAAGATAAATGAGTTCATAGCAACGCATCCTGTCTCTTACTAGTTTTTTAAGAACTCCGTATGCTTATTCTCTGACAAAATATCCTTAATAAAGTGGTATCTTAGTTGGCCTCTAACTTAGGAGTAAAATAGAAACATTTACTTTTTTAAATATTTTAAACCTTAAAGTGTCCACTAAAGCACGCAAGTTGGAGTTAATGCTTCATGTCAGAAGATTGACTGACTTAATAAATCCATTCGTTTTTTTCTTACTGGGGGTGGGGGTGCAAAATAACCAACAATCCTTTAGACTATGTCCTAGATCACATTTCAGCATAAGATTTATATCAGAATTTTTCTAGCTTCATAAAAGTAAGCCAAGTTTGGATCATCTTTTTGGTTGCACTTGAGAAATATGATTCTAGTTATTAACATTCTTGTAAGTGAGATCATGAATTAATTTTTTTCCTAGTCACAATTTTCCGCTTTAGTTTTTAAACAATATGCAGGAAACTAAATTAGCCTCGTCAACTCTGCTTTCCAATTAATATTTGGAATGTTTTGACAGTGCAGAGAATCTATTTCAGGCCATGTCTTTCAAGGTATTAATATTTTTACAATTGCTTTAAAAAGTTTTGTCATTATCTGCACAGCTGACCTATTTTAACTCAAATTCTCCTTTCCCCAATTGCATAATTTTCTTTTATTACCTAGAAATTGTTATTTTTTCTTTTTAGCCTTTGGCTGGAGATTATCTTTGGGCATGAGAAAGTCTTGTTTATTTTACCTAGTTAATTTATATTGTGCAGTTTGTGCTAAGATAGGAGACTAGAAAATGCCAACTAAAGTTGTGCCATTTGGGGAACAAAAAGAAACCCATTTAGCAAAGTTTGGGATAGTGGTGTCTCCCCCCTTGGTTTGACAGTGCTGCTGGCCATGGAAGGGCAGGTGAGATTTTCCTGGTGACACTAATAGGAGAGGGGCTGTATTGCTGGGAATGACAAAGGTGCTACCATTGGATTACATTTCCTCTAGTGTCATTAGAAAAATACTCCTTGAGTACGTCTTCGCGTAAGTCATGTTCATAGCAACAAACGCTTACTTGATGGTTAGTTGTATCTAAGGAACCTGGATCCTACAGGGGAGGGAAATCCCAGTTCCCCCCCTCTCTCTGCCTTGTTTAAACGTTAGTGGAAACTTGGTTGTAACATGTTTTGAGCAACTTTAAAGTTTTATAATTTTTGTTATTTTGGTCGCTTAGAAAATAACATATGAGCAACATTGTCTTCTATTTGACTTTCGAACATGTAGAGAAAGCCCAGTTTATGTATGAAGTAGCCAGAAAAGGATGAAAGTCTCACCAGGATTTGATCATGGTGCAGGATTAAGTATTTATAAAAAATACGTGCAACCTGGCCTTGTCAAGGCTGTTGGTCCTTCCGATGAGACAGGAGTTACCTTGCTGTGTGTAATGGACAGAAACAAAACATTGTATGCTTCGGAGAAGGGACGTTCTAATGAATATTAGGAAAACGTTCACTGGAGAAGTATGGGCGGTGGTGCAATTGATTGTTTAGGGTTGCCTTAGAGCTGTGAATGTTTCCTTTAAACTTCAGCGTGAGCTCTTGTTTAACTTGGGAACTTCTTGTGTTGGTAGCTAAAATAATCTGTTTGCAAAGAAGGTTTTAAGTATCTCTCAGCTTCAGAGAATTTTCACCAGCGGAAATAGTCCTGCCTACTGTTGTAGCTTTCCTTTCATTATATGAAATAAGCCGGATTCTCTCTTTCTCACTCTCATTTCTTTTTATTCCTTCCCTCTTATTTTCATTCATTAAAAAAAAAGTCTACTGGTGATGATCATGATAACTTTAAATAGTATCTTTATATCTCTATCTCTAAAGTGACAGCTCTAAATAATGTCTACATTTCCACACTATGAAAAAAATCAGTAAATCAACGTAGAACTTCCATTTTTATGTCCTCTTTCACACTCTGTGTTCTAAATGGTTGCTCGACATAGCATTGGTTTGTGATGTTATGATTTGTGACATTTATATTCTGTTCTGAAATATGAGATCTCCTGGGTTGATAAAGTTTAAAAATCAGTTTTCAGAGCTTACCATATTATGATGTGTAAATATTTTTCACTGTATATCCATTAGAGACAAAACTGTAGTGCCATGATATTGAAACTTTTCCCATTGGAAGAAAACTTCAAACCATTGACACCTAATGAATCTTCTTTCCTTTGCATCTTGCTTTACTCTCTTCTTCAGGTTTGTGCTCAGTTGTCACTCCCAGTTTATCCCTTCCCACCACCTTTTCCCCCTGGTAACTGTAAGTTTGTTTTCTATGTCTGTGAGTCTGTTTCTGTTTTGTGAATTAGTTTATTTGTGTCTTGTTTTTTTAGATTCCACGTGTAAGTGATATCATATGGTATTTTTTTTTTCTCTCTCTGGCTTACTTCACTTAGAATGATGATCTCCGGGTCAATCCATGTTGCTGCAAATGGCATTATTTTATTATTTTTTATGGCTGAGTAGTATTCCGTTGTATAAATATACAACTTTTTAACCAGTCATCTGTCGATGGACATTTAGGTTGCTTCCAGGTCTTGGGTATTATAAATAGTGTTGCTGTGCACATTGGAGTACATGTATCTTTTTGAATTTGTATCTTTTTTTTTTAATAATTTTTTTATTGATTTATAATCATTTTACAATGTTGTGTCAAATTCCAGTGTTCAGCACAATTTTTCAGTCATTCATGGACATATACACACTCATTGTCACATTGTTTTCTCTGTGAGTTATCATAACTTTTTGTGTATATTTCCCTGTGCTATACAGTGTAATCTTGTTTATCTATTCTACAATTTTGAAATCCCAGTCTATCCCTTCCCACCCTCCACCCCCCTGGTAACCACAAGTCTGTATTCTCTGTCCATGAGTCTATTTCTGTCCTGTATTTATGCTTTGTTTTTGTTTGTTTGTTTGTTTTTGTTTTTGTTTTTTAGATTCCACATATGAGTGATCTCATATGGTCTTTTTCTTTTCTCTTTCTGGCTTACTTCACTTAGAATGACATTCTCCAGTGTGGAGATTCCTCAAAAGACTAGGAGTAGACTTACCATATGACCCAGGAATCCCACTCCTGGGATTGTATCCAGAAGGAAATTTGTATCTTTTTTAATTAGAGGTCCTTCCAGATACATGCCCTGGAGTTGGATTGTTGGTAAGCCTATTTTCAGTTTTTTAAGGGATCTTCCATAAAGGCTGTACCAAACTACATTCCTACCAACAACATAGGAGGGTTCCCGTTTCTTCACTCCCTCTCTGGCATTTATCGTTTGTGGACTTTTGAATGATGGCCATTCTGACTGGTGTGAGGAGGTACCTTGTCGTAGTTTTGACTTATATTTCTCTGATAATTAGCTGTATCGAGCATTTTTTCATGTCTATTGGCCATTCGTATGTCTTCATTGGAGAATTGCTTGTTTAGGTCTTCTGCCCACTTTTGGATTGGGTTGTTTGTTTTTTTTTTGTTATTAAGTTGTATGAGCTGTTTATATAGTTTGGAAATTAAGCGTTTGTCAGTCGTATGACTTGCAAATATTTTCTCCTATTCTGAAGGTGGTTGTTTTCTTTTGTTTATGGTTTCCTTTACTGTGCAAAACCTAATAGTTTCATTAGGCCCCATTTGTTTAGTTTTGCTTTTGTTTCCATTGCCTGGGTAACTGCCCTAGGAGCACATTGCTAAAATTTATGTCAGAAAATGTTTTGCCCATATTTTCTTCTAGGAGGTTTATCGTGTCTTGTCTCATGTTTAAGTCTTTGGCCCATTTTGCGTTTATTTTTGTGTACGGTGTGAGGGAGTGTTCTAGCTTCACTGATTTACACATGGCTGTCCCAGCGTGGTCTTTATTCCTGTCCTTTTCTTTTTCGCAATATGAAATGTTTCACGTTCTGAAATGTTTATTTGTACAATCATATTTTAATTTCCGGGATTTCTTTCTCTCTTTTTTTTTTTTGATTCTCTAATTTTTTGGAGGCAGTATGTACTCAAATTTTCTGAGGACAATGATTAGAATTATTTAAATATTTTTGGCTCTTCCTTGGATCATCTCTGTTCTCGCTGGGGCCAGTTATTCGTAATGCTCTTGGTTTTTTCCTGTGATTCTTGGTGGAATGTCCTAAAGGTCTGTAATGACTGGCCTGGGTCTCCACGGCAGTTTTAAGGATCTGTTTCTCTACTAACATTCCCCTGTAAATGACGGGGCTGACCCTGAGTTCTGGGTGAGGGGCTGAATAAATGATACACAGGCTGTCTCTGAAGTGTGTGTGTGTGTGTGTGTGTGAAGCAGGGGACAAGCTAGGAATACTAACAAGTGTTAAAAGAAGGAGGGCTTTCCTCAGGGGTCGGAATCCTTTGTGTACTTTTCTCTCTTTGCTGGAACTGCCTCTTCTCTCCCGCTTTTCTGCTCCTTTGATGAAGCACTTTGGAGTTCCTTAAAGCTCTCTTCTGCCTCTCTGTCAAATCCTAGCCCCTTCATTTGGCATCCTCCCCAGGCAGGTATTCCTCTTTCTTGAGAGAACATTTCTGCATTTCTCTAACTTCATCCTCTGGGTAAAAGCCTCGGCTGCCAGCCGCTCTGTTTATGCCAGTCCGAGGGAGGCGGGCCTTCCCTTCCCAACTATTCGGATGCTGTTCTTTGCTGAGTTGCCAGATGACTCCGCCATCCCCTGCTGCCACTCGTTGTGTTGCTTGGCTGGGAAGCCTGTTCTAACGCTCATCTCTTGGAGAGCAGTTTCTTCTTTCTTTGATGGACGAATTGAATCCCGCCTTCATTCTGCTTGCGAAAATGCCTCTACTTTCTGTTTTCCTTATGGCAGGCATTCTCATTTTCTGTGTTGTGATACAAGTCTGGTAAAATAGAAATTTCAGTGAATCTTGGGAAGAAGGACATGTACTGTGTACTGTCTTCCAAGGCAGATTTTTTCATACTTTTCAGTTTTTTATTTCTTCTCTCAGATGTTTTACCACATGCAGTTTTGTGCATCTGTGCTTGTGTGTATACAAACACGTACACACACATTATATTAATAAAATGGAGTGGCAGGATTTTATCACGTGTTTTCTGTCTGCTTTTAAATTTTCCTTTGCATCTAGGAAGGCACACATTTACATGGTTGTCACACAGTGTGTTTCCATACTGGTGTTGCATAAAGTGCATTTCAAACATTAATCATCAAGAAATCAAATAAGTTCTTGACTGTTTAACGAGCTCACTTTGATAATTGGTCTTAAGAACTGAAGTACTTTCAAGTTAAAAGCTTTTACAGTCATATAAAATAATTTAATGGCAGAATTCACACGTTTGATATTTTTGTTTTTTCTTCCAGTTTTGTTGCGCTATCGTTGACATATAACGTAGTCATTGATATCTGTGTATACTGTGAAATGATTACCACAATAAGTTTAGGTAATGACCAACATCTTGCGTAGTTACAGTTTTTTTTTTTCTTGTGATGAGAACTTTAAAGATCTAGTAAATTTCTCTCTTAGTAACTTTCAGATGTCCAATACAGTATTGCCGACTAGAGTCACCATGCCTTACGGTATATCCCAGAACTTATTTATCTTACTTTTGTCTTTTTTCATTTGTTCTATTTTTATAAAAGTATTTTGACAATGTGCAAGAAGCTTTAGTCAAATTGGGAGGAAAATATTTAAAATCTTTTTTTTTTTTCAGCAAAGAATCGTGGGATTGCCATTCCAGTGGACTTGGACGGCCAAGTTAATACTCTTTTTATGAAGAGTCATTCAAATATGGTGCAGCGGGCTGCCATGGGTTGGAGACTCTCAGCTCGCTCTGGACCACGCTTTAAGGAAGCTCTTGGAGGGCCTTCTTGGGACTATAGAAATATTATTGAAAAGTTACAGGTACAGTGAGAACATGAAATGACATTAATACTTTTAAATTATAACTTTTAACATATATAGTATATATAAATAAAACATGATCTAAAAATATCAAATTCTAGTTGGAGACCAGGCTTTACTTGATAATTTCCTACCAACACCACCCCTTTTAAAAGCATAGCATGTAGTAGTTGTAAGTTATTTTTAGTGAGTATGTGTTATTGAATGTGCTTTGGTAGCAGGGTAATGGGTCTTAATATCAAAATAATAACTATAATACAGTTGGTGAAATAATTCGCTATGTAGACTCTTGTAAGGAACATTCACAGCCTTGCTTCAATTTATCTCTGCGTATCCTTTTATGCTCCTTTGGTGGGAATGGGGTAAGCACCTTCACTCCCAAATTATTTGCAGAGTATCCCACTCCTGTTTTTGGCCTGGACTTTCTGGGACACTGAGTAAAGAGAGACATTGTGTTAATCTGCTCGGACTGCCATCACAAAATACCACAGACTGGGTGGCTTAACCAACAGAAGTTTATTTTCTCACAGTTCTGGGGCTAAAAATGCAAGATCAAGGTGTTGGCAGGTTTGTTTTCTTCTGAGGCCTCTCTCCGCGGCTTGCTCACAGCCTGCTTGTCACCGTGTCCTCATGTGGTCTCTCCTCTGTGCACGTACATGTCTGAGACTTAATCTCTTCTTATAGGAACACTGGTCATGTTGGACTGGAGCCCACCGATGTGAATTCATGTTACCTAAATCACCTCTTTAAAGACCCTGATTCTGAATACAGTCACATTCTAAAGTACCAGGGTTAGGACCCGATCATATGAGTTTTAAGGGGGACATAATTCATCTCCCCACCCATATAATTAGTGGAGGATTTCATGGAATGAACTGGAATATGGTTTGAGGAAGGTTTTTGGCTTGGAGAATGGTCAAGACATTAACTGGAATAAATATTGTGAGAGGTAACGTGTAGATTAATTGGTGAAGGTTCAGAGATTTGATAGATGAGCGCTCTATGTTATTAAAAAGACAAGGTAGAATCAGTATGAAAACGTGAAGGCCATAAGCCAGTAAAGTTTTGGAGGGAAATATAATTATAAGTGAGCAAGCAGTTGTTGGTTTGCAGGATAGAAATATCAGGAAGAGACTAGTGGAAGGCGGATTAATAAGGAATTATGAAAGATCTCAGCCAGGTGGTGGTAGGAATGAAATGAGGAAGCAGGTGCTGCACACAGTAATGAAGGCAAGGTCAATGGCCTTGGTGGCTCTGGGATGGAGACAGAGAGAAGGCATGGGGTCCTCTAAGAGGCACTGATGATGGGAGACTGGGTGGTGTTATAGATGTTTCATTGTAAGAGGGAAGGAGAGAATCCAGTAGAAGGTTGTTGGCTCTGGTCATAGAAAATACACTGATCAGGCCTATAGGCTATGGAATGTATTGGAAGTTAAGCCTGTATTTGGAGCTAATCGGTGGAGTGAGGATAGTGGGTGGCGTTGCTAAAAGTGAGGGTACAGTGATGGGAAAACAAAGAACATTTTTTGAGGCTGGAAGTGGCAGAATGGCCAGATAAAAGGAGAAAAAAAGGCCAGGTCAGAAAGGAGGGGAGTCAGGTTCATGAGGGCCGGAGGACTAGACATTTCAGGGAGAGACAGAGATGTGAGTGTCAGCCAGCACAGAGCGGGCGTGCTTCACACTTACTTCAGCACAGCCATTGGCAAACGTTGGCAAACACTGGATAAAGATACGTTTGGTGAAAACTCTACATCAGCCACTGCCCTAAGTGCTGGAGATAGAGCTATGTATGCCCTCATGGAACATGCATCCTAACCATTAAATAAATGATACAGTGTTAAATAATTAAAAGTGCTATCAGTAAAGTAAATCAGGGTAACAACATGGTGAAGAATGACCGGGAGAGTAATCCTGTGGTGAGGGAGCTCCTCTCTGCTGAGCATACATTGAGATGAGACCTGAATAATGAAGAGGAATCATCTATTCAAAGATATGAGGACAGTTTTATAGGGAGGGAAGAGTAAACGCGAAGGTGCTTAGGCAGGAACAAGGTTGAGGGGTTGAGGAAGCCCACCGGGGCACGAGTGAGTGAAGGAAGAGAGTATTATGAAATAAGGAGCAAAATCATCTAGAGACTCACATGGAGAAGCATTCGGATTTATTCTGTGATGGAAAATCATTGGAGGTTTTCAACAGAGTATAGGCATGACTTGATTTACCTTTAAAAGAAAAAAAAACACTGTGGATTTCGAGTGATGAATAGACTCCAGGATCCAGACATGGAAACAGTAAGTTAGGTAGCTGTTACATTAATTCAAGCAAAAGCTGATGGCTTGGCTTGAGGGCGTAGCAATAGCAATGAAGATAAGTAGATGGATTTTGGATATAGTTGGTTGTGGGGCCAGTGGAACTTGGTGGATGAGTGGTTAGGTGTAGGGTGGTGGAAAGAGGAATCAAGGATGAGCCTTGGGTATGAGACGATCGGATTGTTTGCTAAGATGAGGGAGGATGGGAGAGTTCTGTATGGAGAATGTTCAGTGTCAGATGCCTAGGTCGTCATCTCTGTGAATATGTCAAATGGGCTGCTGGACATATGCGTCTGGAGTGGTTTGAAAAGATGTCCATGCAGGAAATACAAATGTGGGAGTTTTCAGCATTTATGATATTAGAACCATGGAAATGAATGGATTCTCTCACGTCAAAGTGTAGATACAGAAGAGAAAGGACCAGGAGCTGCCAGGAGTTGGCAAAGAATGGTCAGGACAATAGGTGGAAAATAAGGAAAGTGTGGTATTACCGAAGGCAAGAGTAGAAAGTGTTTGACAGGGTAGGACTAAGTGCGTAAAATGCTTAGTGGTGGGTGGGTAAGCTGAGGACAGAAAAGTAACCACTGAATTTGACCACAGGGTGATGATTGCAGCTTCCTGGTACTCAGTAATGATAATGACTAACATTTATTAAGGAATAATAAGTGGTCAGTACGCGGTAGAGGCTGTTTTGTGTATTTACTTTTAATCCTCACAGCAAACCCATATAATTGCTAGGATCATTATTCTGAGTTTTCATGTGGAGAAATAACGAGTTAGAGAGATTACATAGTTGGTCCATGATCAAAATAGGAGATGAAGACAGAGTTCACATCATAGAAGCCTGGGCACAATTTGTTCAGTAAATGAAATGACGAAGGAAGGTAACCTGAAAGACAGGTACATTTTAGTGACATTTTATTAAATGTGGTCATGTCTGGTAAGCATATTCTCTCCCCACATTTATGTAATATCTAGTGTCCCAGTTATGTTATTTCCTCCCTGGTGATCTTTTTCAGCCGTCATGAGGGATTTCTCAGAAAGCTTATTTGGACTAATTGAAGTAGAAATGATCACTTTTGCTAAAAGGGGAGGAAAGAGTTAAACAAGAGTTAAGTCCTGAAATCTAACTGTAAGAAATCAAGAGACAACCAGGAAGAAAATAACATAAAAACGTGTGTTACTATAGTTGAGAGTAGCAATAAGCAATTAGCAATCGGTTTTCTGCTTAACAAAATATGCTGCAGCTACGGGTGAATGAAGTATTGCTTCATGTGAGATTTTTTTTTTTTTGGTTTGTTTTCTAACTTAGTTATTTTAAAAACAAAACAGGGATGCTTTAATCATTGAAGAATGTTCAGTAAATTATCACTGCTTGCAGTCCATTTGAGAAACATGTCAGTTAGATGCTTTCGGCTGTAATTAATACAATATTCAACTAAAAGTGGCTTAAGCAATTAAAAAAAAATTCTTTCACATAGCAACGATTCCAGACGTGGGGCTCTTCATGAGGTGTTTAAGTCAGTGCTTGGTAGGTCAAGGGCCCTAACACCATTGGTCTGTTGACTTTCAGCTTAAGACTGGTCTCCAAAGGTCAGATGAGAGCTGCCTTGTGTTTTGAATTTCCACACTCTCAAGTTGTCATAGGAGCCACAGGTAGTTGCTAAAGGATGGCCCCTTTTTCCCCCAACACACCCTCATATGCTCTGCAGACTTCACCTGATGTCTTACTGGCCAGGACTGTGTCATGTAGTCATATCTAATGAGTCACTGGCAGGGAATGTGGAATGACCCTGCCTGGCTTCAAGTAACCAGTCTTGACTCTAACCCTGAGAATGTTGCTGCTTGACTGAGAATTAGCGTGGAGATTCTGTTGGCAAGGAAGAAGATGAGAAAGGCTATTGGGTCGGCGATCAGTGGTGTCCATCAAAAAATGGAATTTGAAATACAATTAAATATCATTGAACCCTTGTGCAGGACTAATTGTGCTCCAAAGAATGTATCAAGGAATTTTCCCATTGAAAAAAATGATTAGTTCCAGATGACCAATGACACACATGAAATCTTTTTCAGCTGTTCCCTGAGCCTACCCCAATTCCAGTTGGATGAATACTGGTAGTGTCTCTATTACAATCCTAGACAATGCAGGGCTTGTAACAGTGGCTTTACAGACTTTTCATCTTGTCTGCATATCCTTAGGAATCACATGGCTATCCACCCCTCCCTTATTGTGTAAATGAAAAAGGAGACCCAGGCAGTAGTCATACAGAAAGCCAGCCTGTACTTAAAGCACAGACATCCAGTGCCGTGGGAAGTAGGGCACACCTTCTCTGAAATTTCCATGTCTTAATTCTGGTTAGTGCACTTAGTCTTGTCATATCATCAGAGGATGAAATCTGAGTTAGGTCCTCACATGGACTCCCTTTCTTGTTGCTTTATTCCTCAGGATGTGGTGGCCTCCTTGGAGCAGCAGTTCAGCCCAATGATGCAGGCTGAATTCTCAGTGTTGGTTGACGTGCTGTACAGTCCAGAACTGCTGTTTCCCGAGGGGAGCGACGCAAGAATAAGATGCGGTGCTTTCATGTCCAAGTAAGTGGGTAGAGCTGAGATTCTGCCAGTTCCACCGCACTGGGCAGTCCTCTGACATCTCCGCCTCTCACTCTGCCGGTGCATTAAGGACAGTCCACAGATCATGTGAGAGGTATCAAATCCCCATAGTAAAATATACTTCCAAAATGACCAGTCTGATTCAATGGAAATTTCATTTTGGTGAAGTTCAAGTTACCGTATTTTACCAAAATTTACAGAAGATGACGTGTCGCCATTGGGCACACCACATGAAAGGATAGATTGGTTCTGATTCCTTTCTGTAACTGTGATGGGACCTCTAAAACGATTCCTGATTAAAATCACTGATTTTCATTAACATACAGAGGAAGGAAAGGGAGCTCGCATTTATGGAAGTCTTAACGTGTGTGTTTCTGTCCTACGTGTGTTTACTTGTGTTATCTCGTCTGCACGAATGCTCTGAGAGATTGAGCGGCCAGCCTCATTGTAGAGATGAAAGCTGAGGCTCGGGCATGTTCGGGGAAGAGCTGCGAAGTCTCTGCCCGGCACTCGGCCACGCTGCCTCGACGATGCCCCCCCGCGGCCCTTCCTTTGCGTGTGTCCCTCAGCACCTTTGTGGTGCTGTCAGGTCTGCTGCAGCTGACATGTTTATCCGAGAATATCTTCATATTCGTGGTAAATGAACGCTTCTCAAGGAAGCAGAGGCAGGTGTGAGAAGAGTGTAACTAGCCCCAGAAAGGAAAGACATGTCTTAACACTGAGGACGTGCCACTGAGTGATGTGTGCGGGTCATCACAGCCGGACTCAAGGTGGCCAGGCGGAGCTGCTTGGTCTTCTTGAAGAGAGTGTCTGGATGGAGAGTTGGAGGAGGCGGCCAAACCCCCTTGATGATTTTCCATCACAGCCTGTTCCTGTGTGGTTGAAATGGACATGGATGGAATGGTCTCCAAACCTCCTCTACTGATTGTGACATACTGAGGCAGAAATGGAAGGACTGGGGGACACAGAAGTGTTCCTTTCTTTTACCAGTTAGAGCTGGGATCTGGGGAGAGAAAACAAGGTATAGAATGAGGAGAACTGTCTACAGGGATCATGTTGAAGAATAGGTGGAGTTTCTGTATTATGGCCTGAATCAAGGATTCTGGGCTCTCAGTCACTGTATCTTAAGGGGCCTGGGGAGAATGAGTTTGTCAGGACACTTACCAGTCTTCTAATAAGAAGTTTTAAATGAAGAGGTCCAGAGTATCTGTAAAACTGACGATTGTGGAAACTGTTGACAAAAAGTAAGTAGACGTATTGCCTAGTATAAAAATAGGGTCTTTGTACACAGATGGCTAATAAGCACATGAAAAGATGCTCAGTAACAATAATTATTAGAGAAATGTAAATCAAAACTACCATGAGATATCACTGATCAGAATGGCCATCATTAAAAAGTCTACAAATAATAAATGCTGGAGAGGATTGAGAGAAAAGGGAACCCACCTACACTGTAGGTGGGAATGTAAATTGTTGCAGCTACTATGGAAAACAGTATGGAGATTCCTTAAAAAACTAAAAATAGAGTTATCCTGTGATCCAGCAATCCCACTCCTGAGCATATATCCGGAAAAAAATCTAATTCAAAGAGATACATGCACCCCAATGTTTGTAGCAGCCCTATTTACAGTAGCTAAGACATGGAAGCAGCCTAAATGTCCATTGACAGATGAATGGATAAAGATACAGTATATATACACAATGGAATATTACTCAGCCATAAAAAGAATGAAATAATGCCATATGCAGCAACATGGATGGACCTAGAGATTATCATACTAAGTGAAGTCAGACAGAGAAAGACAAATATCATATGATATCACTTGTATGTGGGATCTAAAATATGCAAAGAAACTTACTTACAAAACAGAGATAGGCTCACAGACATAGAAAACAAACTTACGGTTACCAAAGAGGAAAAGGGTTGGGGGAGGGATAAATTAGGACTTTGGGATTAGCAGATACAAACTACTATATATAAAATAGATAAATAACAAGGTCCTACTGTATAACACAGGGAATGCTCAATATCTGTATTCAATATCTTGTAATAAACTATAATGCAAAAAATGAAAAAGGATAGATATAGATATATACATATATATATAAAATTGAATCATTTTACTGTATTCCAGAAACTAACAAATCATTGTAAATCAACTATACTTCAATAAAATAAATACATAAATATAAATAAATAAATAAATAGGTAAATAGGTATTTGAAAAATACACTTCACCTCCTATGAATCTGTATCAGTATGTAGAATGTGGGTTACAAAGTGGGTTATAAACCTGAGAACTTTAAAACTCTAGGATATTAATATGATGCTACAGCTACATCCCAGAGACTTAGTGTAGACAAGTGGTTCGCAAACTCTGGCCCACAGGCCATTGATCATTTTTGCAAATAAAGTTTTATTGAAACACAGCCACACACATTCATTTACATACCATCATCTGTGGCTGCTTTCATACTATTATAGCAGAACCGACCAGTTGGCTAGTCTGCGTGGCCTACTGCCCCTAAGCTGTTTACTATTTAGCCCTTTAGAAAAAAAATTTGCTGATCCAGTGTCAAGAATTAGAATGTCAATACAGTAACAATTGACTGCACATGGCTACTTAAATTAAATTAATTACAATAAAAATAAAATAGTTAGTTCCTTAGTCATATTTGCCACATTTTAAGTGTTCAATTGCCATATGTAACTAGTGGCCAACAAGTAAGAGCACAGATACACACATTCCAGTTACCTCAAAAAAAATTCTGTTGGACAGCGCTGGTCTAGATCTTAAAGATGTAAGTCTTTAAGAAGGTGATGTAAAGTAACTCAGAATATCAAGAAATGACCTGTGCTGAAGGTGAAGCAAGTCTGTTGCAACATTTGGTAAATTCAAAGGAGAGAAGCTGAGCGATGTGATAATGGGAATGTATTATAGCTCCTGAAGTCAGGTGGAGGGAAAGGACGTCACACGCTCATTAGCGGCTAGAGGAGATTTTTGTGCTGTTGAGTATGTGTGACTGTAGTGTGGCCAGAGGCTCCGGGATGTCTCCGTACTTACTCCTTCCTCAATTCTGGGAAGAACCACGAGCTTTATTTGCAAAGATGCATAATAAAATTAGAATCCAGTGTCATTAATTACTATGCAAGGGACCTTGTGTTACTGTGCCAAGCTCTCTTGTAGAGCTTGATTGGACAATGTAGCTTAGATTTAAGGCTTTAAGTGGGGCTTCTGACTTCCTCACATGAATTTAATTCTTGCAACTTGTCTCAGATGGGTCTGCGGGAGGATGTAAGGGCTAAACCCCAGGAAAGGACCAGATTTCCCATTAGTCACATAGAGTAAAGAGGGAAGGAAATAGGTCAGTGTGGGTGTTGGATTTTAAGGTAGCTGGTTACAGTTTATTCAAATCAGCACTTACGCCTCCCTTATCGTGAAGAATCTCAGTGTTTCCCAAACTGTGGGATGTGCCTTAACGGAGAAGAGGCAACCGTTAATTAAAAAAAAAAGAATTGGGAAAGAATATAAAATATCAGAGTGCATCTCATATAGTAAAGGTAACTTTTGCCTTAGTTTTACAGATACACTTACATACATGTATCTGTATGGTGGGGTGTTTGGTGAAACTTATTTTTCACTTAGATCATGGAAAAAAATACTTGAAAGCCACCTGACCTGACTCAACCAAACATTATTTGATAGATAAATACCTTGCATAAATCCCTAGCAAGGGGTCATTCATTCCCATTGATATTTTCAAATGGTTACTGAATTAAATATTTTATCTAAAGAAGAGTTAAAGAAAATGGAAACAGCCTAAGAAGGGTAAAAAAATTTAAAGAAATTTACAGTGCCCACCAAATGATTTTCCTATAAAGACTGTCTTGTGAAAGGACAAACCAAACAGCAGAAGTCTTAGAGAGGCAGGTCTTTTCCTTGTGAAGAGAACTTTAGAAAAATTATTCCGTTAGCAGTTATTCTGTTAATAAGCCAACTGGATCCCACCGCATGGACATATAGAACCCTGCCCAGATACAACATATCTAAAAGGAAAGTCACTGTTCCTTCGTGGTGTGCTACTTCTTCAGGAGGAAATGGGTGTCATTGAAAAGTACCCTCATCCATCTGCTGACCCAGCTCATAAATTTCGGGCATCTGTGATCTGCCCTTTCTCCTCTTCGCCCAGTTTCTGCATATCATTGTTTGCGAAGTCTTGGCCACTTTAGTTCTGTATTGCTTCTCATATTCTTACCCCGTCACATGCCTTGTTCTTCTCCTGGCTTGTCCTCACTCTTCCAGGTCATCTTTCTCACTGCCGTCTAAGGTATCTTTCTCATAGGTGGGCAGAGTCATTTAGGTCCTTTAAAACAGTGCTTCCCTATTTTCTGTGATGTAAATTCCAGACTCACACCCGGTTCCTTCTTTTCAGACTGCATCTCTAACACGCTCCTCTTCCATGTCTTTAAATGTCAGGTAGTGGTTGGAGTACTTATTTCCCGGACATGCCGTCGGCTTTCTTGCCTCTGCCCTTTGTTCATTCCCTTTGCAAGGATGCCTCCTCACGCTGCTCTTCCCTGCCAGGTGGAATCTTCATAGTGAAATGTTACCTTGTCGCTGAAACTTTCTCTGATCAGCCCTAGGCGGCTCCCCCAGCAGAATGTAGTAATTTCTTTGTCTAGTTTTCAGCGTTTGCCACCGCCTCTGTTACAGCACTTACCATACCATGTAAGAGGAGGCTGTGTACAACCTCATGTGTGTGTCAGGACTCTGCATCGGTGCATTGTCCTGCCTCCACCGAGCGGTGCTTCAGAATTCTGGCTCTGAAGTCAGATGGACCTGGGTTCCTTGCCAGATCTCACCACTTAATAATTGTGTAACCAGAGTCAAGTTACTTTATCTCTTTGGGCCTCTTTTCTCATTAGCGAACTTGGCCTGATAACAGAACCCATTACATCGGCTTGTGGTGAGGATGCTGGGGGGAATCCATGGAAGTCCTCATACTTCACCTGACACCTGACAAGCACTGACTAGCCACTGTCTAGTGAAAGCTCACTTTTCCTCCAGGCTGTGTCCCACAGGACTCCCTTTATGTCACTGAAATCAGATCACTCCATTATATCCTCCATTGTTTTGTTTTTCTAGGAGGATGTATCTCATAGGGTCATTTTGAGAACCAGCTTTTTAACAGCATGAGCTGTATGTGCCAAGCTGCAAATTTCGATGATGAACCTCTCAGTTGTTTCTGAGTTCTTGGGGATGTTTTGTAACTGCGATCCTCAAACTTTTCTCCTGACAGAATACTAGTACAGAGGTCGCCACTGTATAGAGTTTTTGCCCAAATTATAGCAAAAATAGTAAATGGATAGACTGTCTTGTTACTTTTTTTTTTGCTTCTAATCACAAAAATTGCCTGTTTCTACCACGCTCTAACAGTGAAAAATAGCAATTATTATTATCAGAAATTGGGAAGCAGCCCATTAATGCTAAAGTTCCAGCGTTGTATGCTGCTGCCATATAATGAATGTGATATAGTACATAGAAAATAATGTACTATAACATACTGTCATGAAATGTAACACACTGCAAATATTCGTACTTCTCTACTAGTAAAGTCATTTTAGTTCACGTGATAAGATTGAAGAGAATCAGTGTTTCACTGTTTTTCAAAGAGTATTGTGTTCCACTTAAAGTGTGCTCCCTGAATAAATTAGAGAAGCACTGAGGCATGCTGAGTATAAAACAAAGGTTTTATGATTCCAACTTTATAAGCTGAAGTATAATTTTAACACTTTGAAAACATGTATCTGGTTTGTTTTGTATTCTCAAATAATATTGTGATTTTTCCCCCATAGTATATGATGTTATGTTAGTACATAGCTTGAAAAGAAGTCACTATCTTATTAAGGTTTAATCTTTTGTTTTAAGGTTGATTAATCATACAAAGAAGCTGATGGAGAAAGAAGAAAAATTGTGCATTAAAATTCTTCAGACTTTACGAGAAATGCTAGAGAAGAAAGACAGCTTTGTGGAAGAGGTATTTAAAATTTTTTCTTAGTATTTGCAAGTAAAATAGAATTTTTAGAACATTATAATGAATGAATTACACTAGGCTATTGCATGATTACCAAGTACATATTAATGGTGTGTGTACTTAGACGGATTAGATCGTTTGAGTTTTATGATATCCATTCATCTTTTGTGTCTGCTTTGAGAAGCAACTAAGACTAGAACGGCCCAAGTATTTGGTTTATTTGTTTTATTATATTTTGTCTTGAGTATATATTTTTCTCATATAGCTTCAGTGGACCCAATGATCTTTTCTGACAATGAGCAACTGAGATGCATTATTAAGATTTTGTGTGAAGTTCTGCATATTGAAATGGCCTGTGCATTTTGAAATATGTTGATTTTTCACTGTAAATATATGTTCATGTCATTTTCTATACTATTATGCCAAGTATTATAAAATAATACTGTTTAAAATAAATGGAATGATAAGCTTCTATTCTTAGGTATATTAAGTATTACACAAATGATTTTCAGGGAATATCAACTTACAGATAATAATTGTCAGTCTGTTATTAAAAATGACAGCTCAGGTGCTCATTAGGAGATAGCTGGCAGCATGTTTAATACACAAAGTGATACCTTT